TGGAGACGCTGCATGAAGCTCTGGAGGAGGCTGAGATCCTTCAGTCAGCCCAGAGCCAGCCTTCAAGCACTGAGCTCTCTGTGGCAGCCAAAGACATTCCAAGAGCAGATGCTGCTGCACCATCTTACTTTGCCAGGCAGGGGAAGAGGCAGCGCACCCAAACCCTCCAGCTGGGCGACTTTTCTGATGTAGATGACACCTACTGGCAGCAAGACCAGCACCCCAATCACTGCTGTTGCGGGAACTGCTTGATTGTCTTTCGCGCATGGATTGAAGAGCAGGGAGCTGTGGCCACCAACTTGGAAGATGGCGCTGCTTTGGAGGCTGAGGGTGATGCCGAGTGTGCCAAGGATGTGGCCAAGTGAAGAAGAACTGGCTTGCAGGCTTGCAGGCTGGCAGGATGATCTGATGCCAGGCTGGCAGGGATCAGGGAGGGATGGTTTGAGCTCGCAATGGTAAATTGATGATAGTCACCTGACACCATGGGATTTTTCCATGAGGCAAAGCCCATGCCTCATCCAATAAGCAGCATTTTCCAGGCCAACTAATCTACACAGGAGTGGTCCAGTTTTGGCCCCGTTGCTGACCTTTTGCCCTAGCCTGTGGGAGACAAGTTTGCGCCTGGCCAATCCATGCGTTTGCACACCCGGTTTCGCAAGCGTGTAAGTTAGTCTTAACCCATGTGCCCAGGCATCTTCTGCTAGCTCAGCCCTCAGAGTTCCTGCACTCTTACACCACTGGTGGTGCCTCTTAGCCACTTTTGTGCCCCCACCCCTGTGTCATTAGGGCTCTTTGGCAGTTCATGGTCCTCAAGACCAACTTGAGCTGCACGCGTGGGATTTCTTGCATTTGCAGCCTAGGTTCCCACATCAAGCCCCTGTTCCCTCCTTGGCTGTGGGGTGGCCATCCTTGCATGTTTACCTTGCGCAGCTAGCCACAGGTGGTCTTTGCCATGTGCTGCGTTGGCATATCAGGCCTCCTGAGCCCCCTCTGCTCAAGCACACAGTGCGCTAGGTGGCCCTTTTTCCTGTTGCTTTGAGCCATGAACAGCTCCTGCACACCTGAGCTTCAGGAGGCACTTGGAAGGCTTGCAGACCTGCAGGAGGCACTTGGAAGGCTTGCAGACCTGCAGGCAGAGCTTCAGACCTGCCTTGGACCCATGAGGCGCACCCTTGAGGCCAACCAAGAGGAGTTGCATGAGACCAGGCTTTTGGTGAGGAACTTGTCCTGGGACATCGCATGTCTCCACTACTGCGTCGCAGTTTGCTGCCTACTTCTTTTGATAGCCATGCGATATTTTTGCTGAGCGGTGATGTCTCCAGATTGCCATGGCCTCAGTGGCTGCTTTCATGTCCATAACCCTGGGCTTTGTGTGTGTGTGCGCCAATTTTTCAGGGTTTGGAAGGTGCCCAAAATCCCAACAGCCCTGTCCATGCCATGGCATCCATGGCATGGGGCATCCATGGCATGGTCCACCCAAAATCCAAGGCTTGCCAGGGGAAAATGCCCGCACTCGTTCTTTTGAAGTTCTTTCCCCAAAGTGAAGGCATGTGTGTTGGCCTTGGAGTGGCTCAGCACTGCCTGCACTTGGAGAAATGGCCCATCCAAAATTGTGAATGCAATGATGCTGGTCAGGCAAAACCAAAGAGAGTAACAACCCAAAAAGCAGTTCCAGGATGCCTTTAATGACAGCTGCCATGCTTTGAAGTAGACACCCACCATGGGCGCACCAGGTGAGGGGCCGGACTTGCGTGCCACTGTAATGTGTGACACACTGCTATTTTGAGGGGGTGACTGTTTAACATTGTGAAGCTCGATTCATTATATTTTTGCCACAAAGAGACAACCCCTGGATTCTTGAAGCTGTGGTGTCTGTGGGCTGTCTGCCAGTTGTGTCTAGCCTTTGGGTATCCTTGAAAAGTTGTGTCTTCTGCGCTCAGCCATGCCCAGGTGCTTTGGGGAAGCCAATCTGCTGGTCGGCTGTGAGGATGTCAGTTTGAGAGGAAAACAAATTGTTGTCTTGTTGAGCCTGCTACTGTACTGGGTAATTGTGTGCGCACACCGAAATGATAATGTTGAACGAATGGCCAGCCAGTGGAATGATGTGCCTGCCGTGGGTGGGCACCTTTGCATGCCCAATGTGAACTGCCATGAGTTTTTGGCTCACAGCACAGCACAGCTTGCAGGCCAGCAGGCTTGCAGTCCAGACAGCTTGCAGGCAATGCCCCAACAGAGAGGGCTTTCGTATGAGAAGCGGCAAGGTGTCAGAACACTCAAGAAGGCTGTCAAGGTGGCCACAGAGGAGGCTGCAACCTCCAACAAGAAAATTGGCATCTTGAAGAATGATGTGAAGGAGCTGAACTCTGCACTCAAGCACGTTGCGAATGATCTGATGGAGGAAACGTGCCTCCGTGCCAAGGCTGAGCAAGAGACTGAGAAGATCAAGAAGGGCAGGGACGTTGTTCTGGAGAAGCACCAGGGGATGTGGAAGCGGGTCTATGACAAGTGCAACCAGGCAGGGTTGACCAAGCATGACCATGGGCCTGGCAGTTGCTACCCCTGACTTGACCGCAGGAAAAGGACGCCGTCTGCATTGAGAATGCAGACTTGCACTTTCAGATCATGGACTTGCAGGAGAAGCAGGAGCAGAGCTCTTCTTCCAAGAGCCAGCCATCAAATGCCAAGAAGCCTGAGATGTCTAAGAAGTGAAGCCAGCATTGCAGGCCTACAGGCCTGCAGGCTAGCTTGAACTTGGCTACCTGGCGCCGTTCTGGAAAAAAGCTTGTGAAGCGGTGGGTGTTTGTGTGTGTGTGTTACCCATGTGTGGTTGCATGTGCCGTGCGTGGCCTTTGCTGAGCAGCTCAGTTGCGCCTGTTTAGGCTCAAGGTCACTGTGTACATGTCTGTTTGCGCTGTGTTATCAATGGGCTTCTCCTTGCGTTGCAATTGAAGAGCCCACCTGCGGGCAGCACTCATCAGGGTCAACCGATGCAGCACATGCACTTGGGGCTTTGGGGCTGACGCGCATGGCTTGCAGCTGGGGGGCAGGGAGGGGGACTGGAGCATTTATTGGTCTGGTGCTGAACGAATTTCCTGCCCAATGGAGCTGTTTGGAAATTAGATGTTTTGCGCCACTTGGTTGATTGAAGGTTTGCCCTCCCCCTTGCATGATGTCTTCAAGGTTTCTGGCATTAATGTTTAGTGTGTAATTGGTGTTCAAATTTGACAATCCCATCAAGGAGCATCAAAGCTGAACAGTTGTCCTGGCGAAAGTGCAACATTGGCTGGCAGAACCCCAGCCTCCAATCGGTCAACACCTTCAAAAGTCAGTGGGGCCCTCCCTAGTGTCTGACAAGGGCTGGGGTGAACTGCGAAAACTTGCCTTGAACATCCTTTAAGCCTCTGGCCTTTGTCTTACTTGTTCCCAACCCCTACAGTGATAGGAAAATCCAAGGCATGGAGTCCATGCCTTGGCAGGCTTACAACCCCACAATGTGACTGCGCCCTAGTGAGTGGCAACATTGCCTCTTTGCCTGCCAGGCCTGTGTAACCCTGAAGTGAGGGCCTTAGATGCCTGGGCCTTAGTGTCTGCACCTTAGCTTGCAGCAGGCTCCGCTCTGCTGGGGCCTTAGTGAACCTCAGTGCAGGGCTTGAGCCTTAGTGCCCAGCTGCCCCAAACAGTCAAATGGCAACTTCTTTGGCTGCAAGCGTCTGTGTGCAAACACATTGTGGCTGCAGTGTGGTTTGGTGCACGGGTGTGCAACAGGGCATGAAACTTAGGGTCATGGTCAGCACACGTAGCCCCACATGCATTTTCTCAATGGCTGTGCCCTCTATGCATAGTGCTTTGCAGTTGTTACAGTTCTGAAGCAAAGCAGGGATATATATTGACCACTAGGCCATTGAATATTGCAGTCTTGGTGCAGGCTAAAGTGCCCCATGACCATCCTCCCTCTCTGGCCAGGCCTGCTTGGTCATCTTTACCATGTGCCCAGAAAAAAATGGTGCGCTTTTCAGCGCTACCCGCTTTTCAGCGGTGCCTATGTTTAAACCCTCCCTCCCTCCCTCCCTCCCTGTGAACTGCTGCTCCAGGTAGCCCGCCAAGTAGTCAAGACAGGGGGGATGCAAGAGGGACCCTTAGGGAATGAGAGGTGGGATGCCTGGCAAACAAAACTAAATCTTGGTATCTTAGAATGTTGGTGCCTGTATCTTAGTTCCACTTCTTCTGGTTTACAGGTGGTTCGCCCCCGGACGTTGGGACCCCACATTTTTATGGCTGGGAGGGTAAAGCATCCACGTGTAGATGGATGCTTGCTGATGGTAGTGCCCTGGGGGTGTTCTTAGGGACCCAGAGCAGGTTTTTGTCACGGTCGCTGGTGAGAATGTGTCAAGAGATATCTTTGGAACTTCGGGCGGTATCACAAATTCACTCTCCAAGCAATGTCCAAGATGTGGGATTGGTGAGCATCACTGCTGAAGCCCCAAATGCTAGAGTCAGCTTGAACAAAACAAGCGTCGGGAGCTCAAATCATTTGTGCGAAGCTTGTCGTCCCAAGGAGTCGCTTGGTCCCTCCGGTGGGTTCCATGTTGCCGCGTGAACAGCAGGGTACTAGGGGTATCCCGGGTTAATTTCTCTCCTGGTGATGTTGATTGGGAATTGTCCCCTTTGTAGTGGTTGGATTCAGACCACTTTTGGAGGGGAAGTGTTCCCCATGAAAATATCACCGGTTGAACCCAAATCCTGGGTCAACATTGGGGGTCACTCACCAGAATCCACTTCCATAGCCAGTGAGAGGTGCAGGCCATAGAATCCACATTTATCACGCCCGCGCGCAAACCTTGCCCTTTCCCCCCCCCCCCTGAACACAAATCCGGTTGACCCCAAATCTGGTTGGTCCAGTGGGTTCCCCCAAAAAGGACGCGCCCACGCCAACCGCGCCCCAAAGGCCCTCAGGCGCCCAAAAACCCACCGAGCCGAGAGACCTGAGACCGGGCCGAGCGAGGCGCTGGCCTCCAACAAGAAGTTGCCGGCGCTGCTGCGATACAACCTCCGCCAGGCCATCACCTTGGCGCCTCGGCGCCGATGACGGTCGCTGGGTCCGGCGCCGGCCGGGAGGGGTGCTCTGATGACCGGCTGAAGGCGGTTTGGGTTTTGGTTTTGGAAGGTGCCCCGTTGTTTTTTAGATTTTACCAGTTTTGCGAGGGAAAATACCTACGAGAGGGTCGACCAAAAGAGAGAGACATAGCTAGATTCCCTTTCGGGGCGGTCACACCCCGAAGAAAGACAGAACTCAACCGGGCCTGTTGTTTTTTTGTGTGGGAGAGCCTGTTTTTTTCTTTTTTATTATTCTTTTTTTTTTGTGTGTGTGGGCCTATTTTTGTCTGGGGGATACCCTTCCTCCCACCAACATAGCACCGGAGTGTACTTGAAAGTACCTCTCTCGGATGACATGAGGGAGAAGGTATCGTATCTTTGTGGCTCCCGAAGGCCATCCGGTTCCTTAGCAATCTTCCCCCCTAACAGTTGTAATGTGAGGGGGGGAGTACCCCAGTGAAACTTCTCATTTTTTGGTTGCACTTTTGAGGGGGGTTGTTCCCTTTGCTTTTTAGATCCTTTTAGTGTTTCGTGGTAGTTTCAACGAATTCAACCCACGAAAAGTGAGTCACCTTGGAAATCGGGGGACCAGAAATCGGGCAGCCCAGAAAATGGAATCTGGCTAAGGACATCTTCCTGGTCTTCATCGGCGTGGTGGGCGGCCTCTTTAATGGAGCCTTCTCCCTGGCTGGCAGCCCCATCCCTCTGGAGATCTCAGGCTTCGCGGGGCGGCGGTCGTGGGGTCAGAGGTGCCAGGAGTTTGAGTTTGAGGAAGGTTGGGGGAGGGGAGGGGGGGAGGAATCCCTGAGTTCCGTTTCGGACTTTAGCCACCTTTTGGGAGTTTGGATCGTTTTAGTGGTAACAAGAAGTTTGAAGTGTGGCTGCTTTTTTGGGCTCCATCAACTCAGGAAGTGAATGGAGATTCGAACTAAGAAACCAGCTACTGGAATTCTACAGGCCTCTGGAGAAGAGATCTGGGCCGCCGGGCAAGTTGAATCTGCAGAAAGTGGGATCGAGGGAGCCTTTGAAGGACGTCTGAAAGCTTGCTGGAGCCAAGGCCATGTACAACTTGCACCGGGGTCGTTAAGTTAACAGAGGCTGTGGCAGGAACACAAGAGGCTGAAGTACGAGTAGCCAATTTCCGGGTGGTTGGGGTGGCTTCCTCTAGAACTGTTTGCAGATTTCTTACATACTTAAAAGTAGCGAGGGGATTCGGTCTGGTGGGGAGGAGTCAGCTCTGGCTATGGGAGCCAGGGAGCCAAGGAGCCTTCTGGAGCCAGGAACGATGAAAATCCTTGCGTAACTAGGGAGCTACAGAGCTACAGAGCTCCATCCCCGCCGCCCAAAAAAAAAAGAAGCAGCGTCGGTTACTAGGTCCCCCAGCAATTGGTGGCCTTCTCTACCGTTTCTTTGTTGGGAGATTCGGTTCCCCTACCAAAATGGACAGAAAAGAATCGGGTACCCTTATTCTAAGCTTTTTACTGGAGGGCCTAGGTTTGTTGGAATGAGAAAAGTAGCTCTGATGGGGCTTTCGCATTGGCCACTAGGACATGACGTGATCAAATCATAGCGACCTGGGATTTGCGGCCTTGAGGCAGCTTCTTCACTTGGAATGCTTTACATACGGTTCCTTCTTCCAGATAGGCAAATGAACACGGTTCACACATATTTTTCTGATTGGAACAGAGGTCGCCCAAAGGGAAGGCTGGGCAGTGTGTGTTGATGGTGTTGGATGTGCATTGCCACTGTCACGCTTCAAGATGAACCATCCGCTTCAAGTGGGCCATCTAAAGCCCCGCGCTAGTTAGTACCTTATCTTGGATTCAAATTAACATGGAGGGGTGACACTGACCTTGTCAGAATGGGACCTTTGGATCAACAAATCCGACCGAAAAGGGGGTTGATCCCGAATCCCGAAAGTTGCATATGAATTCCGGGCTACCATCACACGGAGGGAATAAGGTGCCAGCAACTTTGCATAGGTCAAATACTGGTTCGCCCGTAGCAGGAGGCCACCTCACTGTTACCAAAGCTGCCACATGCTTCTGATGCAGAGCTGTCGGGGTCAGGTAGGTCTAGGTCCCCCAGTAGTGCATTTTCACCAACTTGTTGGGTTGGGAGGGTTCCCCTACTAAAATTAACTACAGGAAAAAATAACCTCTCTATGGGAGGACCTAGAGGTGATTTACCTGGGAGTCCTTTCAATTTTTGGAGTTCGCCAGGTGCGCTGGTGACCTCAGATTTGGAATTTTGTTGACACCATAGTCGGACGCTCCACAAGAAGTGGCCCTAGGAGCACTCCGGAAGTTTATTCCTGTTGTGTTTTGAGATTCCAGTTTTGGTAGATATATGGCCATGGGTCAAAATCGCGTACCCCCAGTGAACATCCCAATCCTCACTAAAATAGACCAAAATATGTGGTGCACCTACCCCGAAATGGTACCATTGGTTTTGACCCACAGCCATATCTTTTCCACAAGACCAGCTACGGCAACGACCCTCATGTCAGTCTTTGCCTTGTTTGGAGGATGATGTTCACACTCTGCCACTTCAGTTGGTAGTGCCCCAGATATCAGTCATCACTCCCTTGCAACTCTGAAGCAGTGCGTCCACTGCTTTGTTTGATAGTTACTGGTTTCCTTTCCATGGAAAATGGTTCACATTGCAAACGGCTTGTATGTTCCCCGTCTCACAAGATTTACACATACATGGCAAGGTCAAGACACCTGCCTTATCCGAATGACGAACATGGTAGACATAGTTTTAGCAGTACTCGAGCCTTGAGTGATTTCCACACCTCTCGGATCTGCCGCAGCAGTCCTGCTTTGAACAGGGCTCCTTAAAAGATACATGGTTGCCCATTTGAAACATGTCTTTTTTGTTTTTTTCCGCCAGAATAAAGGGAAACCAGCATTTGCAAGGCAATGTTCAGGTGTATAATGTAAGGATCCCTGTTGAATCTCTCACTGCGGCTCTGGGGATCTTCTTACAAAAACGGGGTGTGCAACTCGCCCAAGCAAAGGATGCCGTCGAATGAGGGAATCAGCCCTACTGCGTTGTTTTGTCTTCTGTTTATTTGATATCCGTTCGCACCACAAAATCAGAATGGTTGAAACCACAAACGATTGGGGGTATTTACAGGGGAATCATGATAGGGTTTCTGAGCAGTGGTGTGAAATGGATTTCGCAACCACGCACGGTATGAACTTTATCCCTAGTAGTTTCCTTTACTTGGGACCCCCAGGTTCATTCCCACTGTTTCCACTTAGAACATCTCAGAACCAGCAACTCACTCCCTGAGTTCCTGAAATTGAAGCTTTTTAGGGAAGGCCATTTTACTGGCAAATAACCAGTTTTCACTTTTCTGGGCACCATTTGGGGGAACCATTTTAGTGCTGACCAAAAAAGAACAAAAACAACTTGGACGCGTCTTGGCCAAGCCACTCGATCGGATGCGATGTGCAAATCTCTTCAGATCCCCGCAGCTAGGAGTCAGTGGATTTTGCCCCTCGTTTCAGCTTTTTTTTTTGGAAGGGTTCCGATTCCTTTAACTCAACCAACCCAAAAAGGGATGCCTTTTTTTTCTCATAGAAATCCACTGGGCATCTGAGGATTGATAATTATAAAATATCTACTGACAAACAATCGATTGATCGACACATCAACCAACACATTTGGGTTGGTGAGATCGCTTGCTTGATATCACAATCAGGCACCCTTCATGGGTTGATTCCAGCTCGTTTCAAACAGCCCACCAGTGGGAACCTCACTTCATCTCTAAAGGGTCCAACTCGTTTTTGACTTTCCACAAATGGTCGGTCAAAACCATTTTGTTTTGGGGGAGGGGGCGATGGTTTCATGGACGCTGACACGTTTTGGGCATTCAACCCGCTGAACTGACCAGCGATTGCTTTTCTGGGCATCCTGGCGGTTTCCAGGTGTGTTCAGCACCGGGGTGTACCTCCTTGTGACCGGCTGCTGCCTGTACTCCATTGCAGTTAGCCCCCTGGCATTGCACATATTGCACCATTTTTAGCCTTTTGCGGCTTGCACTTTTCGGCTTCTTTCGTGTTTCTTTCGTCTTCCGTCACTGCAGCACCCTGCTGGGTTTCGGTCACGTTTGATGCAACTAGTCCACTTGGATAGAGCTGATCGATCACTTCGCAGCAAGCCTCGCAGTCAACTTGCCGTCCTTACCTTGACGCCTTGAGTCTTCTTTTGCCTTGGATGGTCGGCTGGCCAAGTCAGCAAGTCGACTCTTCTAGGCGTTGATTCCCCATTCTTTTCAACCATCGTTCTTTTCAACACACACTGGGTTTCCGGAGGTTTTCTAGAAAGAAGGATCCCTGGAAAGAATGGGGAAGGTACCCCTGGAACTCTACGTTTCCGGGCGGAGCTCGTCCTGGCCGCTGAAAGTGGGCTCAAAGGAGCCGCCTTTTGCCAGCCGAAAGGCTTGCAACCTGAGAAACGAGCCACATCCAGCGAATCCTTGTTTTTGGTGGGGGCCAATGTACTGCAGACCTTCCTAGCTGATTTTCTATAGGACAAATACATGCCGGACCGTTCGCTTGTTGGTCGGTTTCAACCCGGATCCACTGAAGTACAACATCCCCCCCTTTGCGAGTTGCAACTCGATTCAAGGCGCAATGAGTCATTTCAAAGGTGGCACATGTGCCCATAGGTTCACAGGGTCCGAAATCGAGGTGATATTTTGGGTCCAAGCCACCGCCAATTCGGGCACTTCGGAGCTTATGTTCGGACCTAGGAAAAACCTCCCACTGAGGGCAAGAAGCATGGCACACATGGACCAAAACGCAGCTATGTCCCATTTGGACGTGTCTTATAATAGGGTTTACACTCCTTTTGGCTTTTGTTTGGAACCACTCCAAACGGGTACCGAGCCGCAACAAAAACCCTTTGGGAAGGAACGGGTTGTGCAGCGCTTTTGGAAAAGGCCTGCCACAGCGAAGGGAGACTCAATGGGGCGATGGGGTACGTCAGGTAAGTGGTCAGTAAGCCTGGGAATAACCCACACAAGCCATGGGTATAAGTCTCCGTTCAGTGGGTTGTCTCACCAGGCTTACGATCACCACTTACCTGACGTACAACGCCTCTTTCAGTGCAAAAAATCCACGATTTTCAGTTTGGGAAGTTTCCAACCTGAACTCTTTACATCCTCAATCCTTGGGTTACGCAAGCAACCCGTCCCCTTTGGAGTAATCCGATAGGGACGGATTGCAATTGGCCACTCCAAGATGACTTGTTGACTTCTTCGACTTCTCCGTTTGCATTTGTTGTTCAAAGTTGCGGGAGTGAGTTCAGGAGGTAGCCTTGTGTCACTGTTTGTGTCTTCAGGCTTGGCCCTGTAAAAGTTTAAACATGACTACACGTGTTTAACTTTATGGCTGGTTGGTAGCGGATCTTTGGACTTTAACTTTTTGGAAACAGTTGATTTTATCCATTGAACCCAGAAAAAGGTATTTTTTCCTCTTTGCAGCGGGGTCAACAGCAACCAAGTCCAGAGAGTGCGGTTTTTTTTTTCTCCCTCCTTCGGGTTTGCCTCCTGTGCGCTGCCTCAGGCCTGTCTGGGAACTTCCCGAGCGGCCTGGGCCACTTGCCATCCGGTTCCTGAGACCCAGGATCTAAGTAGAACCCGTCCCATAAAAAGGGGGGGTGGTCCCTCCGGAAATTTGGTCGGAATCCAACCACTAAAAGGAATTGGACACCCTCCAAGAAAATCAATCACAGGTGTATGAATCCGGGGTTAACCTTAGGTCCCCCAGCAATTGGTGCCCTGCTCTCCCGTTTCTTTTTGGGGGGGAGGGCTCCCCTAAAATAGACTACAGCAAAAAAAATGGGTACCCTTATTCTAACCTCTCGGAGGACCTAGTCAGGGCTCCCTGTATTTCCCCTTCCGGTGGTTTTGGGCCAATTTTAAATGACCTTCCTTTTGGTGGGGTGATGCTTAAAAGGGAAATACGGGGAGCCCGTTGGTGAAAGGTGGTTGGGTGTCCATTTAACCCACCAACAGTGAACCGTTTAACGGATCTGAGGACAGCCGAGGTGTACAGGTTTCCCTGTCCAGACTAGCTCCTGGTGAAGATAAACGCGCCTTTTCTGAGGGTAGCCCATGTTTCAGGCTTTCTCAAGGTTGACATTTGTAGACATGTGGATGGTTGCGAAATCCTCATTTCGCACCACCTGAGAAACCCTGGAATGATATGATTCCCCTGTACATACCAACAAAAAAAGTTTTCCCATGGTTTCCAAGTAGTGCAGGATTTCGTCCATCCACAGTAGGACACCACCAGCTAGCGATGGTCTGGCATAAAGTTCGTCGCGGAGTTGTCTTCAGCGGATTGGGATTCATTGATCCAACGTGGACATTGTCCTGTCGCCCTTGATAACTTAAATTGCTTAGTTCACAAGATGTAGCTGAAGTAGACTCTCAAGGAGTCGAAGTACCATGGATTTGTCCTGTTTCCATGGGGGTGGGTCTCAAAATAGGGTCACCCCTGGAATGGGTTTGTGTGTGTGTGTGTGTGTGTGTGTCTGTGTTTGCCTTGTGGTTTCCCTTGAAAATCGTCCTAAAAGGGTACCCTCAAAACAAGACACACCCATAGAATCGAAGAGCCTCAAGGCGTCTCAACGAACCAAGGAACACGACCAACCGTGGCCTCGGGTTTGCTGGCAGTTTGGATTTTTGGGGCTCCCCAAAGCTTCAGAGCAATTCATCCTTGCTTGACGTACAAAGGAAATCCTTTAGTTTGTGAACATGAGAACCCTTGCCAAAGGCTTGCAAAGGGTAGGGACGCAGGATGGCATTGAGCGATATTGCACGCATTGGCAGCTTGCTGGATGGAAAGCCTCCTCTCGGAGGGAACTCCTGATAGGTTGCATTTGTTGGCGACGGCAAAGGGAACGCATCTTCATTGGTATGCCCTTTGTGTTTTTCATAGTTCAGGTCTTTAGGGAAACAGGTTCCCTTAAAGGATACATCCAAAATCAATCTGAATGATAAGGGGAGCCTCTAAATCAGCTGGTATGTAGGTGATTTTCAAGCCCCAGCAGGTGATTTTCAAGCCCCAACTGGTATCCTTTCCTTTGGATTGTGGGACACTGCGTTTTTGGGTTCTCTTCGATGAGTCCATAGGCCCCTTCTCGGACATTGCGGAGTTTCAGATCTTCGACACCGCGCCGAGCGAAGCTCGGCTGAACTCACCTCCAAAACACCAATCTACTGATGTTTCTCCTGTTCTTAAAATAGGAGACCCCCCAAAAAATGGTAGGCTTCCTTGTTGTTTTCCCTCTAAAGCCATCAAGATGAACATGCAAGAGGGCTTGGAGCATTCGCAGGACATGCGCTGACTCAGGTATAACCTAGCTTCTTATCGACCCAGATTGTTTCGCCGAGTGACCCTCCCCTTCTCAGATATGAATCCATCGTGCCAACTAAGGCTGCAGATGGGCGATGAAACACTCATCCGGTCCCAGGCAGTGTTGTCCAAAGCAAGTGGGTGACTTGTTGCCACGAGGAAACCTATTAGTGCTCAAGCAAAGACCTCCAGAGCACCACCATGGGCTGTTGAGCGGCTACCCTGAAGAAAGCCACCCGAAGATCGAATCCATTTGCCCGAAGGGTGCCTGGCGGAGTGCGGGTCTTTTGCTATGGGCTGAATTTGGAGATATGCACAAGTTGCAGTCTTGTCTATCTTTCTAATCATGCAGCTCCGGGATTCTAGTTAAAGAAGTCAACTCCTGGGAAGCATGGGTGTTGTTGGGACACATTTTACATTTTTGCTTCTGTTGTGTAGTGAGAAATCCCCACTGAACTGCTACAATACACATGTTTACTCCCCTTCCAACGTCAGCCAAGAAGGACGAATCAACAAAAAACAATAACAAATCAAAAACACATTCCTTAAGAGTCAGCCACTCACTGTGCCAAGAGTTCTGGGAGTGTTTTTTGGTTTTCTCGAGGTGATTGTGTTTTGGCAGGGCTAGCCCAGCCTCTTTTTTTTTTGTAATTCCTGCTTACATGTCCAGTTTGAAATGGAAAGTTGTTCCGACCTTGTGTTTTATTCTTTGCACTGGATCTCCTGGCCAATATCATCTTTACAAATCAAAACATTTGAACACAACAAGAGTTCAACATAAGAAAGCAAGTGCAAGCAACAGATACAGACTTGCATGCACAAGCAGATCAACAGAAAGCAAACAGTGCACTCCCAATGTCCCCAGCCCTTTCAAAAAAGACGCACCCAAGTAGGGCTTAATTGACCCATAAACTAAGAGTTCATACCAGAGGTTCATACATTCCGCCTTTGACAGAGGACGGAAAGGAAGATGCCTCGAAGTTCTTCAACAAGCCGCTTTGATGCACCGTGGGGGGAAAGACGTTTTTGCGTAAGATTTTACCACCTTCCCCGAGCCAGCCCTCACTCAGGTTTTCCCCGCACATGAGCTGTTAGTAACTTTGGTGCATTTTGCTGGGATGTTAGGACTTTAACTTTTGCCAACTAATGGGTTTTCCATTAAATCACTAAAAGTTAAACTTTTAGCAGGGAAGCAGAACGCAACCGAGGTAAGGCTCGGTCAATCTGGGTTAAGGAAGTAGGCATGAGAGTGGAATTGGGAGATTGCCGCTTTGCCTGGGTTACATTACAGTAACCTGTACAGCCAGACCAGGACGTGGGATACTGAGGTGGCATGAACACTCGCAGCACTGCTGTGGATCCTGCCCCCGCTCACGAAAAAGGTGGATGGTGGAAACATGCAAAGACCACCAAAACGGTCTTCCAAATGGTGATGATTACTGGTGTTTGGGCCGGGTACACAGACTCATTGCTGGCTCGTGTCTGATCAGATTACCTGCAACGGCCATTTGGATCCTGAGAGCCATGACAAATCGGGAAACGCGCCAAATGGCGACGCTCTGTTTGAAAAAGCTTTATGGGATACTGGGGGCCGTTGCTTGTCATTTCCTCAGTGAGTCTTGCCTCTAATGCGTGTGCTTGAGAGGCCACCATTTCTTGGGGTGGAGGGAAACAAAGGACAGTTTCCCAATGTGGTGCCCTTTGACACATTCCCAAATGTGTGTTTTTTCTTTCGTGGCTCCCAAAGGGCGCCGATTTCAAGGCAGTTTCCCCGGCATGCAAGCTTGGGCCCACCACTTGAACAAAAACATAACACCTGGTGTCAGCAACTGCCTTATGTAAAGAAACTCCGTTGGTTTCCCTTGGAAGGAAGCCAGGGTCAGCAAGTGTTGCTTTCTGAAGGTCATGAGGAAGTTTCGTGTCACAGGCTGTTCAAAGATGACAAGCCTGAGAAGTGAGCTCGTACATAGCGTGCCCTTTGCATCCAGGCCAATGTCTAAGGGTGGAAGTACTTACCGGTTCCTTGTTCATGCCCCTTTGCTTCCCTGGTTTCCAAGCCACTTTAGAAGGGGTATATACCCGTTTGGGAGAGAGAGGGGTAGGAACATCCGCAGGCCTTTCACGCCTGGACAATGTTCTTGAGCTTCAGCAACGGCTGCTGTGGACAACTCATCAAACGTACTGTTGCAGGGTGAGCCCTTTTTGGATGACCCCAAGCTAGACTGAAACCCAATGCCTGAGTGCTAAAAAGGCGAACGCCCGAGATTCTTTGCCAAACACGGCGCCTTCACTGTGGATACCCAAAGCCGCTTTTCACCAGTGGGGATGGACAAACCGATACTACCTCCAATCTAAGTCGTGAGGGATGCAAGCTGATTGGTTTGATCAGACTGGAAGATGGCAAGTCCAGTGGAGTCGGCGCCATTGTTTCCTACTTCTTGAATGCCGGCATAGGGAAACTTGAAGCAACAAGCGCTTTTTTCCCGGACTATCCAGCAACTAAGACATATCACACATTGCTCTATATTAAAAGTTCTGCCCGTATGATTGTTGGTATCAACATACAGCAACTGGTGAACAACGCATGTCATTGTTGGGGGTTGGTTGCCAAACTCCTGAGGCCTCAACTGAAAACGGCAGTTAACTAGTGTCAGATATCATTCCGCAAAAACAGATGAAGAGAGATCATCCCCCTACAATGAGTTCTACCACAGCACACACTCTGCATTCCATCGAACTTGCTGCCGAACATGAGTTCTATTTGGAAAGTCACATGGCCCGCAAGTGGCATTGGCGAGGAGGGACACGGCAAAAGTCAACCCGCTGCTCGCGCAGCCCTATTTATTTTTATAACTTACTTGCACGGTACAGATGTGCGGAGCCAAGAAGGAAGAATGATACAGAGACTGCAAGAGGTCCGGAGGCTTCTGCCTTTCCAGCAGCCTGTCAGCCAAGACAAGTCAGCACGAGGTCTGGGATCTCCTTTGACTTTTGTTGCTTTCGGTGTACAAAGTTTGGACCAGCAGGCTTACGTGTGGGGCAGAGGCAGGGATGTTCAAGTTGCTGCCAGGTGTTGCGCTTAAGATTCCAATCACCCTTCATCGCATGTGCAAAACAACGTGTCAAAAGAAATCGGATCCGAGCCCCTCCAACTCCAGGGTTTCGAAAGTGAACTATTTCTACTCCGAGCTTTCCATTCCGTGAGAAGAATATGACTTGTGCGGATACATGTGCTGGGTGCTCTAGTTAGTACATCTTGAATTTCCCCTGAACACCAAGCGGGGATGGGCACCCTCCTGTCCGCATACATGGAACCCACCAGAGGATCCCTTTTTTGAAGGACACTAGTCTTGCAGGAACCTACAGTCAAGTTACATCTTCGTTGACAGGAGGGACATTGTCTTCCATTTGCTTAAGAACATTTTATTATTTTCCCTTGTTGGTTTTAAAAGGAATTTGTCACTACTGGACATAGTTACTCCTTCCAGGGGTCTTAACCAAATGGAAGTTGTTTTTTGTTTCCAAGACCGCTGGTCAGCTCAGGGCGCTTTGTCGGGAAGCCTGAGAGCCTAGCTATAGGACTAAACACATAGCAGCTGTCTCCTCCAGTTGCTTGTCCCCTGCAAGAAAACAATGAAGGACAATTCCTGTAGTAGATGCCTTTTAAAACCAACAGGGGAGAACAGACCAAATATTACTCAGTAAGCCTTCGTGGCCCCCCCCCTAACCTGCAAAGTCCCTTCAGCGGTTCAACAGGGAATTTGGACCATGGTGCAGTTTTCAAGAGGAGGATGACCTGTTCAAGACATCTTGCCATGTGGCTGCTTTGTCTTGGCGTGGCACAACAATTTAAAGGACCTCATCGAGCTGTGGCCAATCGTATGTGATGTGGGGAGTCATCCAGGCGAATCAGCTAGCTACCTTACACAGGGGTAAGCAACTGCAAACTCGACGATGCGCATTTAGTAGGGGTCGTCGCCGTATTTTCCAGATTTGCACCTGGCTGCTGCAAACCCTGTGCTGAACAATGGCCTTCATTTGACAAATGTTGACAAGGATGTGCCGGCGTTCTGGTTTACAGACTTGTATGTTCGGGATCGCTTATGCTCAACACATGGATTTGCTTGGCACGCCCATGCCCGCTTGAGCTTCCTGGGCCAACTTCTTGGGACCGGCAAAGGCAAACAGTTTGAACTTGTTTTGGATCGGAAGTGACTAGGTCCCCCAGTAGTGCCCTTTTACCCTTTTTGGGGGGAGGGTTCCCCTACTAAAATAGACAACAGAAAGAAGTTGGTACCCTTATTCTAACCTCCAAATCTGGAGCACCTAGGTGAGACTCTTGAGTTTTAGCGGGGGGGCCAGACCAACCAACCCAAGTGGGGCGATGGGGGGCTTAGCGCCTGAGAGGAGATCAATCTGGGTCCTTTGAGGATTTCCAGCCCTGCCCACTGTAGGGACATGGCTAAAAGGTTCATGTCGGCCACCTCGAAATCACAGCTACTCGTTTTGCGGATGGTCGGTAACTGTTGGATGTGTCATATATATATATGTATATTATATATATATATATATATATATTATATATGTTTTCAGGGAACCCTCAAGTTGATCTGTTTATGGCGTCGCCAATTCGCAGGTGTTTTCACAGGCAAATGCATCGGCCGCTCATTTGCAGTCTGCCTTCTTAGCATCCAAATGGCCTGTGCTGCGGAGACGAGCATTCAGGCATAGGAGTCATTTTGTGGCATTTGTCCTTCTTGTTCGGTGGGTTGTCCTAAGCCAACCGATGGAACAACATCCGCTCTGCACAGGGCTAAAAGCAAGGGGCTGTCGGGACAAGTTCGCAAGTTGAGTTTGGGCAACGGCTGTAGCGGGTCTGGAACGAGCCTTTTGGATGAGTTCTTAAGAGCGCAAAACCGCTTTGTGCTTCCGATCCTCTGGACACAAAGCGCGAACTGCGCGGGGCTTGTCTATAGAAGCCAAAGGCTCCCAGGTCAACGACCCTCGAATTTCAAACGCCCAGACCGGTGCAAGATGGCGCATTGGTTTGCCATAGTGTCATCCCCATAGACCCGAGGGAATTGTGCCATCACCTGACAAAACCTGGTTTGGTGGTTCCCCTTTGGTCCAGTGAACCCCGAGGGTCCCCAAAGGCAAATCTTCCAGGATGGGAGGCTCCTTCCGTTTGTAAAATGGGAAGTTGTCGATTCTGTTTTACCTTGAATGTCCCAAAAAATCGCCAGTGCCCTCATTGAGCTACGTTTCTGCCTTTTCCGAGCCTGAGAATGCTTGGCGGATCCGTGTCGCCGGGCAGTCTTATGTAAAAGCAGCAGACGATGGTTTGCTCAGAAAGACTTTTCGATCTTCCGACCTACATGCGCGCGCAAAACCAATTATTGTCAGTGTGCGTTGGCGCTCGAGCAAGGTCATGTTCGGGTCATTATGCCCGACTGCCAGCCGTCAGCCCTTTTGGAAAGATGATTTGAGCGTTGCCCTAAATTATGATGCTCCAGTAGTGGGGGCCAAGCCAATCTGTAGTGCAAGCTGTTTCCAGGTTCCGGAGAGAATTTGGGCGACGATTGACCCATTTTGCCTTTCGCAAGTTCCTATTTTCTTAGTGTGCATTCGCAAGAGTTTTTGCCTTCACCCCTCTTCCATGGGAAGACACAAGAGATGACTTTGGGTCCCTTGTGTCGGCTTGGTGACTAAACACGTGCGCAGAAACATGGATCATGATTAAACTTGCCCAATCTATTGTCACGCGGGAGCGTGTCCAGACAACATGGCTGGTCTTTGGCACAACCTTAACTTGTTTGGAACCAATTGGGTTTTTCCACCTACAAAGCTTAGGCTTCTTGCTTCGCGGGCAGCCACTCAGAAAAGGACCTCTTTGAAGCGACTGCATCCATCTGCCACTTTGGGGCTTTGCCAACCCGTGGCATGAGCAATGAGTTTCGCTGTCCGTGTTGTTTTTGTTGATTCATTCATTTATTTATTTATTCATTTATTTATTTATTTATTTATTATTATTACTTGTTTTATTATCTTTTTTAGCTCCTTCGTTTGCGAGCTCGGGGGGCATGGGACTCCCGTGATCCCACCATGGCGGCCATGGCGCTTCATGACCCAAGGTCCCAAGAACAACCACCCAGTGAGCTAAACGGAGAATTGCTGCAGAGAGAGAAGACATCGGAGTATGCAGCTTGGACCTGTTGAAGACCCTAAACTGGCGTCGCAACTCGCATTTCGAGGCTCAGACATGAAATACATTCCTGTGTGTGTGTGTGTGCGTTCTTGCTTCGTTTTGGACGACGTTTGGTTTTGACAGGGCCAGCAAGTTCCAAGGTGACCAGTTGGCTCTGTGCTCTAGGCATGATCCAGCGTCCAACTGAAACCCGCAAACCTGAGGATAGGATGCCAACTCGCAAATTTGACTCAGCTAGGTGCCCCAGCAATTGGTGCCCTTTCTTACCCCCTTTTTTGGGGAGGGTTCCGCTACTAAACTGGACTACAGAAAAAAGGGTACCCTTGTTCTAACCTCTCTGCTGGAGGGCCTAGTGAGTGATTTACTTGCTCTTCAAGGCCATGCAAGACGAACGCCCCTCAACATGCAAGGCGGCATTTTATCCCGACTTTGACTGCACCTGCCCAATTCTCGAATAAGGTGAGGGCAGGTTATCAAGTAGCAGCCCATGGAACGACATCTCGATGTCTCATGCAGGCGCTTAACAGCCGAGCTTGGCCGACGGGGTTGCTAATCTAGCTGCTTTGTGGGGGCGAAATTAGCAGTGGTCTTGATTTGTGTTTGTTATTTTTCAGGAACCAACAGGGAAAGCCCCCGCAGTTTGGGTCCCAACATGGTTTGGAGACACCAACATGGGTTTCGATGTTCCGACCCTCTTTTGGTGGGTATTTCAAGGGAAAACAAGCTATTTAGGGACCACTGTTTTGGGATATCCTGTATGGGAACCAATGGCTGAGCAGCCCACAGTCCAGCCGTTTGCATGCCCTCTCAGAGGGCCCCAAAGTTACGAGCTGGAGACAGCTACATGAGTGGCTCGTCTTTTTCTGAGGTCAACATGGCGACGTAATTTCTCGGCACAGGTGAAGGCATCTCAAAACCCGAGTCCTTTTTGGTGTTGAGGGACAGGGGCCTGGAGCCAGGAAAGCCCATCAAACGGGACGAGATGCTCATGTTTAGATACTCTGAAGATATCTCTTGAGACAGAAACTCCTATCAAAAGCAGCTCCTTCACCTTGCCGTAAAATCGTGAGCCTGCAAAAATATTCACATTGCAAATGCCGTCAACGGATCCTTGTGTGAAAGCACATGCCACTTGTATCCTGTCACTTGTAGAGTTGAAGTCCCATCCCCGGGAGAGGTTGACGTGCGTTTGCGAAGGGCTGATGTGAACAACTGGATGCTTTCAAATTTGCGGGATTGACTTCCGATTCGAAACGGAATTCGCAAATCCGAATCAGATGGGATTCGATGTTTGGAATCCAGTTTTCAGATTTGAAGAAAACAGGTTTTTTGTAGTCCGGGGAGGCCTCCTCCGCATCATGCTGTCTTGGGAGGAAGTGTACAAGCAAGGGGGGTTGTTTCCTCTGCAAATGTTTGCTTATTGGATTCAATGTTTGCTTGTACAAAGTCTTTAACAACTAAAGACAGCTACAATGATCCAGCGTCTCAAAAGAATCTGCAGGAAAGTCACTGGGGGTCATGTTGTTGACTGTTTCTGGGGATGAACGTCAGAAAATGTTGGGGGAGTTCCCCCAACACCTACCACTTTGAGGGTGACTTTGATCAAGGTAAAACTTGCTGGTGATCAGCAGGGAATGAAGGAATGTTGGTTCTGGGTATTCCCGTAAAAGCACACCACAAAAGACGGTCTAAAGAGAGGTCCTTCCATTTCTCCTCCCCTGGCTATCGCACGCCACAGTGCACCTGGGGAAATTCCCTTAAAAGAAGCCACAGAAAAATGGGTTTGTAGAGGTCCTTCCATTTGGCACCAGCAAGAAAAAGCTCCTGGGCCCCACCCGGAACCGGAGGGCTGCCAAGTGGAGGAGGCCTTCCTGTGCAAGGCGCAGCGTGTCGGTGCTCACTCCGTGCTCCCCGGGAACCGGCGGCTCTCCCGACTTGGGTGGTGGGCCATGTCCAAAAAGTTTTTTGGGTGGCTGTTGCACATCGCCTTTAGGGTGATGCAGTGATTGGGAAGTTCTCGGAAATCCTTCCCCCCCCCACCCCCCCACCTGGCCCTGGCATGTTGAACTCACACGCGGTGTCACGATTCCTGAGATTCCTCAAGGCCGTTAGGTTCCATTCCCGATGTCGATGAATTTTATAAAGGTGCTTGAGACTTCAGAAAAACGGGGGAAGTTCTTTGGCTCCATGTCCTGCGTTCCTGGACTTCAACCTGTTTCGGAAACCCATTTTAGTGATACAGAACAAGCTGGGACTGGTTTGGCCAATCCGCTCGATCGGAAGTGACAACCCAATCCAGATCGCTCGGTCGGCCACATTGAAGCCGGTTCATCTTCTGGGGGGGGTCGGACCTGGATCCCAATTTCTTCCGAAGCTGGATGCTTAGCGTTCGGAGCGGACACCGAGGGAACCGGACCCAAGGATACATTTCTCGGGCCCCAGCCATCCCTTTGGTGTTTTTTTTGGTTTAGCGGTAGTTTCCACCAATCCACTCAAGGTTCAACGTTTTGCAGGGGATCTGACAGCCCAGGTTCGAGAGACTATTAAGCTTGGGCGAATGCTCTTGTAAGTTGGTGAGTTGCAAGTATCCTACACTGAACAAACTGCTAGAGAGTAAGTTGAACTTAGGGCTTCCATTTGCTTAAGAAGATTTAATACGGTTATTTTCCCTTGCAGGGTGTAAAGGAGATTTTATCACTACTGAAAATATGTGGTTGTGGTTTTTCCAGCGGCCTGAAGCAAATGGAAGAGAGGCACACTTGCACATGTGCAGCTAAGTAGCTAAGTGGCCAAAGTAGCGATTGGATGCATCGTTTGCAAACTGAACAGCACTTAACATGGACGTTCGGTAAAATACCATTTTCTTTAGATTGTTTTTTTCTGAGAATAATATCTTCCATGGGCACTGGGAACTGAGGAGAGTGGCTTGTCTGTGTTTGGCAGAACCCGTTTGTCTGGATTTAAAAGGAACCCAAAACGGAAACCATCAATTTTGAGGGTGCTCCATTTTGAGACACCCTATTCCCGGACCCCGCACTAAGCGTTTCACAGACTTCTCCGTCGTTCCCTTCAAGGTTGTCCCCCAGCTAGGTGCCCTTCTCTCCCATTTTTTTTTGGTTGGGAGATTCGGTTCCCCTACTGAAATAGACAAACCAGAAAAAAGGTTGGTACGAACTGATTCTAACCTCTCAAATCTGGAGGATGTTGCAGGGTCATGTTGCAGGTGCTGCGCGATGTCGTGAACCAGCACATCCTGCAGAAGGAGCAGGCCCTTTAATTCGCCGTGGCTCGCGTTTTACACACGGAGGACGCACCTCTTTGACATGATGGCTGCAACAAACAATGAGGCTAAGAGGAACAATCAAATTGTGCGAGAAAGCCGGCGTTGGTCTCTTTTGCGCATTGACTCAACTTACACTTCTGAGTGGGTATGATCCCGATTTGTTTTCTCATGTTTTCTAAATGTGTGTGTCTGGGAAATTCCGATAGAAGCTTCAGTTGACGAGTGCCAGACTGCCCCCTCAAAAACACAATTTGCTTTATTGTTCCGCGCTGTCCCGGACTAGATCACTTCTTTGCGAGGCCCTAAGTGAGTTTTGAGATGCTGGCTCACTCCAGCTTGACCTCCTCTCATGGCTATCCAACTGGCTGGCCGGCGGATGTTTCACGGTCACGTCACTCCACAAACACGGTCGCGCGCTTTTTCGAACTGGGAGCGCCTGTTTCAAGGGAACCCCCAAAATGGTTGGCCTTTTGGTTTCCCTACCCTTAACACCTAGCAAAATGAGACACGGGTTACCCTAAAAGAACAAGGGTAGTTGCCTTAAAGCCTTAAAACCTTCAAGGGAACAAGAAGAACCTTGGAGCCAAGAACAAGGTAGGGAAACAAAAAAAGGGGCCCCAAAAAAGGGGCCCATAAAACCTTTTTAGGGGTGCCTTAAAACCTAAAATGAGACATGCTGGGTGCCTCCCCGCCACTGGCGTCGAAGGCTGCCAGTCGGAGTCGGGCGTCGGAGTTCTGCCCGAAGAGGGGCCTCTTGAAGGCCCTGAGTTCAGGAAAGGCCTTCCATTTCTGGCAATGAAGCATGTTCTTGGTTAATATTCTAACATGTTTTTCCAGGGGACGAAACAGGAAATAATAATATAAAAACACAAAAAAATGGAGGTTGCCCAAGGCAAGCTCAAGATGTAAAGCGAGCCTTAGTGGTTAACTTTTGAGCCAAACACTCAGGTTTCATGGCGTTCTCTTGAAACAGAATCAGTGGAGAACGAACAAAACCATCCCAGTTACCCAGCAGCAGTCATCTATTCTTTCTTTTAGGTGGGGTGGGCTTTTCCTTCAACTACAACCAACAACAACAACATGCTTTCTTTGATGGTACCTTTCTTTATGTTGGCTCAAGGGAAAAGCAAAGGGGCAAGCCATCATATCCCTGTTTTGGCACATACCCCGTCCCTGTCCCCTGGATCAAAGCTGCCGGTTTTCACATCAGGTGGAAGATGATCTAGGGAAGCACCTGGAGGCCGCGAAGGTTTGCGGGCGATCCATTCAGGAGTTCCATTCAGAGGACCACTGTAAGGTTTTTGGGTCTGAACCATTTTAGTGGTAAACTAAAAACTGTTTGGGAGGCTTTTCTTGGGGGCATCGATCAGAAGTAATTAGATGCTCTGCCCATGGCATTGATTTTGCGGGTGCTTCACTGGTTGGTTTCAACGAAATGGGTGCGTCCTTTTCAAGTTCGGACCTCCCAAATAGCAGAGCGGGTTTTCCCTTCGGTTTTTCCTTGACCAAGCAAAAGGGGTACCCTCTATTTTTGAGGGCACCCATCTTTGGTTTGCTGAAATGGTTTGACACTGGGCCTTTGGAGGTAGCTGTTTGGTGCAGACCGCAAAGGGGAACCGTTCACGCCCGCTGAGCATCCCAGTCGCCGTGTTCTCTTTTTGGGATGGACAAGTTCGATTCACTCTTGGGGATTCTCTTGACTTCAGGTACCTTTTTGTGAAGGGCTCGATTGAAGTGAGCCGTTGTTAGGATTCTCCAAACTACTTCAGGAGGTCGATGTCTTTCAAGAGAACACTAGGGGAATATCAGTGAAGTCTCACCAACAAGCAACAACTGGTAGAGCAACATGAGCATTGCTATCCTATGATCCTGAAGTAGCTTGGTTCGATAGAATCCAACCCCATTCTAGTGATGGAACCCCCGGATGAATAAACCCATCCTATGAATAGGGGGGGCGCCACGGGGGCGCCACTTACAAAAGTGAGGGGTTTTCAGACGTCCTCTATTAATCAACCAGGGGGGTTATTCATGCGGGTTTAAGATTGCTGGGCTAGATAATTACGTATGTTTCTTTCATGGTGACTAAGTCTGGTGTTCAAGTTCCGCAGCACGAACGCCATTCTCAGTATGTTTGAAACCTGATAGTGGATTTTCAGCCGAAGTGAGAGTGGCACTTGAACCACACGCCAAGGCCCGCATAACTTCGCAATCAAGCAGTCACTTTCTCACTTCCTCAGTTCCTGGACTTTAAACTTTTGGGAGCACCGTGGTAATCAAAAGTTTGGATTTTTGTTTGGGCCATCCACTGAGGAATTCAGCTTTATCAGATCTGCAAGATCCCCCAGTGTTCTTGTTTTCAGGGAGCTACCATTCGGTGAAGAATATTTGTTTATTTTCCCTTGTTGGTTTTAATGGGAATCTATCACTACTGGAAATATGGTTTATATTTGGCAGGGGGCTCAACCCAATGAAAGGGAGCCAAGGAGCCTCCTCTTCCCAAGACACCGACCCATCACCCCGCCGCCAGCGCCCGGCGAGCGCAGGCCCTGTGGGACCTCTCTGCGGATGCCGCCTGCGCCGAGGCCTGCTGCGCCCTCCGTGGCGCGGAGATCCTCGCGCAGGCGGAGCGAAGTGCCTTCACCCGACGTTTGGGGGTGCCTTCGCCTCCGTTTGCTGAAGATGATTTTTCAAATTTTGCCCTAAGTTGGGTTTAGATGGAATTCATCACTACTGGAAATATGTTATATTTTTTTCCAGGGGTCTTAACCAAATGGAAGTTCAAGAAGAAGTATAGATCTTCCATCCCACAGGTGCTATGTTTGTGGGTGGAAGAGAAGCTTACCTCTTTAGCTTCTTGCCTGTTTGGGGTTCCTTTGTTCTTCCTTACCGGCAAACAGTTTAACTTTTTGATGGGTGAAGTCTGGAGACGTGAGGTTGTTGGCGAGACGTGTCCCTTGGGGAGACCAAATTGGAACTTGGTACAGAGTGAAACTAGATGGCTGTGGCTCCCTGGTAAGTGGAAACATGCACCAAAACCTGCGTAACCCCTCCTGTTTAATTTTGAGCCACACCCATATAAAGGACTTGTGCCTTTTTATTCTGTAACATGTTGCTTGAGGAAGTCCAAATGGAAACCATGCAGTTTTGAGGTTTCCACCCCCCCATTTGGAGATAACCATGTCCGCGGCGTGTTTTTGAAGTTGTGTGAAAGGGATACCACTTGGATCTGTCCAAGTGGGTTCGAAATCGCATGTTGAGACAGAAAGAGATAACACCACATTACGCTGAGTGGTGTTGAAGGGCACCTTTTGCCAAGTTGAAGTGAGCTTTTTGAAAGTGACAACTCTGGAGAACCCAAGACCAAGCTGTCAAACATGTGGTCCAAGCGGGGATCCTGACTTTTCAGAATACCCCGAGTGGGCAACATATGGGCGTGTTCTTTTTGGGGGACCCACCACAGTTGTGGTTGTTTGTTCTTGTTTCCCTTCACGACCACGAAAAAAGGGGTACCCTCAAAAACGACAGAGCCATATTCTGGTTCAGATTCGTCTCAAGTGGGTATGAGGCAAGCAAGGCTGCAGGCAAAGGCAAACCGCTGAGATGGTATGCCTTTGGCTTTGCGTTTGCGGTGTGTTCCCGGATATGCTCGGATGTTGACTCGGCGGTCTGGTGCAATGATCAATTTGGTGAGCCAAGCGTTTCAACATTGGACACTAGAGGACATCTTGCCATGGTCGAAGCGCACTATGGGTGATGGTCATGCTTGCCCAAAGTGCGTCTACGATCAATCAGTTAGCAAGGCAAGCACTCCGGCTTCCGACAAGCCACAATCAGAAGCTGGTATTTTACTGGATTTGCCGAAACTATGGAAAAGAGTCACGTGTACGGCTGCAGCAATGTATGAAACTGTCCCCTATTGTGGGAGCCCTTCAAACGTTGCTTAGACAGAAGGAGGTGGCTCAAACAAGATGCTATTATACTGTACATGTATGTGTACGAATAAGGTTTAACAGGAATCAACCATTTTTCTGGACCGATTCCGATTCCAAGAATTATCACTGCCTGAGTTCCTGGACTGAAACAACTTTTGGGTTTGCACAATTTCAGACAAGAAGTTCTGACTTTATCTAGCCAATTCACTCAGGAAGTGAGTCTTGTAGAGGGCAAATGGGAAACCATCCATTTCCAAGCTTCAAACCACCAATCTAGCGGTTCGTCCTTTATTCCCTTTAAAGCCATCCAAAAGGGTACCCTTCCCACTAACGTGGCGTTTGCGGGGTGCCTGGAAGATACATGTCCTCTTTAAGGCACCCTTTGTCAGGTGCCCGTTAGACGAAGGAGAGGCTACCTTGCCTCGTAGAGATTTGAAGCATCGGTGCGTTTTCCTTGGCTGTGTTTTGAGGGGAAATATTTATCGGGACCCCTAAAAAACGTCAACTTTTCAGGATGAGTGTCCCTTATTCAGGGGAAGCATGTGGTCATGGGTCAAACTCCCAGTGAACATCCCAATCCCCACCAAAATTGGTTCGGTGCACCAATCCCCCAAAATGGGATCCCATTAGTTTTGACCACCACAGCCATATCGAGCTTTCTCCTGTTTTCAAGCTAAAACAATTCGGGACCCCTAAAAACGTCAACTTTTCAAGGTGAGTTTCCCTGATTCAGGGGCAACATCTCGGGGGAGAAGGGAAGCCGCCGTCGCGTTTCAGGCAGCCGAGGCCCATGACTTCGCCGGGCGGTTGCCGGAGGTGGCCTTAGGCATCCTCGCCAACGCCCGGTCGCCCCAGTCACGTCGCGAAAAGCGTGGCCCGTAACCCGTGGGTCGAACCAGTCTTGGCAGATGTCTTGTTGTTTGTTCTGGGGTTGTTTGTTTTTGTGGTTTGTTTGTTCTTTTCCGAAGTGAGCAGTGAGTTTTTGTTCAGAAAATGTTTTTGGGAGTGGTTGTACAGGTAGTTCAAAAGGCTTGCTCCCGGATTTGGGGTTCGCTCGTTTAAGTCCCTGTATCCTGTTAACCGCCAAATGAAAAGAAACAAGTGCATGATCCACACCTGCCCATGTTTGCGGGCGCCTGTGTTTTTTGGAATCCGTGTTGGAACCTACCTAACTCCAGATTTCTTGCCAGCTTGGAGTCCATGTTGGGGCCTATGTTTCCTTGGACTATGTCCTTGGGTGAACCGAATAGCCACGATTCACTCGGAAGCTCCAAAATGGGTGACCCTCAAAGGGGATGATTTCGGGGGGGGGTTGCTTGGCATTCTTAAGCTCCTTCTTGGATTCCAGGGCAATGTGGAATGGACATTTCCCTTTCCCACGCACCACTCAGGGAATCTACCATATGCCAGATACAAACAGTGAAGTTGTGTTTGCGTGTGTGTGCTTTTGAGGATTGGTTTCAAGGGAAGCCAAAAATCACGCCGACACTATTTTTAGGATTTGTTGGATCCCTGTTTTAGGATTTGTTGGATCCCTGTCCAATCCCATTTTGACAGATACCCATTGATCTCACTCTCCGAGTTCCTGTAAACTTTTTGAGTCTGGGCCAGTTTGGTGTAAACAATAAGTTTGGGCGACTTTTTGCTCATCCACTCATTTGGATTGTCTCCCCACCCACCCCCCTCACCACCCCACCCCCCTCACCACCCCTACCCCACTACCCCCATACTGCCCTAACATTTGTTGGTGAGTATCCCCCAATCCCTGGACAACTTGTCACGTGAGGTCTCCTCCCACAGCTTGAGCGAAGAGACGCTCGGAAGGCATGGAACGGGAGACGATGGGGGGTATGTGCCGTCCCACCAATTAACATGGAACGTTCGGGGGGTCCGGGGGGTCCTGGTTTGGACAATTTTCCTTGTAAGGGACCATTTCCCAAACGTCAGGCTCCGGCTGTGAATTGGTAAGCGGGGTAGTATCCCTTTCAACCCACTGCCGGTTGACTGCCAATTTCTTGAGTGGGTTGCTTTTGAAAATGGCAAGCTATGCTCGGGTTTGCTTGGTCGTTTCGGTGTGTTGTTTACTTCCCAAGACGGCGCCTTGCGTGTTGCTTGCGGTCCAGTGTTGGTTTCATTTCATTGGTTGGATGGCCAAGTTTTCAGGTCTGATTTGCATCGGAAAATGTCGACACGTAGTTGGAGGCATAGGTGTGCTGTTGGTAAAATAGATGGCACTGGTAATTGATTGGATTCAACCTGCAACCTGTGCCAGCTATTTAAAACCAAACCGGCCTGACAAGGCCACCCATGTTTGATGGACCTTAGAACTTTGCATCGGCAGAACACCGGAGTTTTGTCTCAGGCGGTCACATTGGTTCTGATATGGATATGTCCCTTTAGGACGCCCCTTTCACCGGTGCGGGGAAACCAACACGAAATAGCTCCTTTTCAGGGCCCCTCCTTTTTACAACGATTCATTATTATGTTGTGAATTGCAGACTATCGTGGGATGGGTCGTTGTGGTTTTCCTGCACACTCTGGCCGCACACTGACTTTGCAATAATCTGTATGGCTCTGCGGAGTTTGGCTTCTTTGAGTATCTCACTCCCTGAGTTTCTGAGCGTTAGTTGCTTTTTGGGTCTGGACCAAACCAAACCCAAAGTTTGGCTACTTGTTTCGGCGAACCCACTCCTTCAAAAGTGAGGCATGTGGTTTGGCTTCCCGGTCCTGGTGGCTGTTGCCACCTTTGCTTTGCATGAACCTTTAACCGATTCAACCTTCAAAGAAATGGCCTGACCTGATTGAGATGCTGAAACTTAAAGGATGGTGAGGATGGAAGCCAGAGGTGTGACATCTGTGCTGCAAGAATGAATTCCACAAGTGCCCAGCTGCGAGCAACGCTGAGCAGTTTCGGTTGTTTTGGGGTACCCCATTTTGGACCACCCACATGGCTGGCGTGTGTTATACCCGGATAGATCAACTAGCCCATGTTGCGCCAGGCAAGGACTCGTCGTGAAAGCTGTTCTCCAGACAAGTTCTTTCGAGCGGACCATCTGGCTGGCAGAAATGCAGGCTACCGCAACACAGACAGGGGACACACAAAACTGTTTACTAGGTTCCCCCAGTAGTGCCCTTTTATCAACTTTTTGGGGGAAGGCTCCCTACTAAAATAGACTACAGAAAAACAAATGGGTACCCATATTCTATCCCCTCTCTACTGGAGGACCTAGTTTAAGGTTTGGCTGTTTTGCCAAGACTCACTGGGCCCAACTTGGCCAGTTACGATGACTTGGCGTCGACAGCTTTGAAGCCGGGCGCGCCGGCTGGGTTGGGAATTGAACTGACTGCCGCTTGGTCGTGGCTGGTTCCTTGTTGTGTGGGCCCTTGCTTCTTGGTCATGATCTCAGATCAATCAGCCGCAGTGGATTCATGGGGGGTGTAAACACCATGATCATCCGCCAGCTTGACCAATCCAGGGTAGACACACAGAATTTAGCGGAGTTGTCTCCAGTACTTGCTGTTGGCCGTGCATTGCTTGGCGTAATTGACATGACGGCAGAACTCTGGATATACAGGAGCTGCAAGGCATAAATTATCTTTGGTAAGGCCGGGGCAATTCTCAGGAAGTAATAGGTACCTCCCCAAAGCTACCCCCCCCCAACAAAAAAAAAACCTAGACGCTCCTTCTCAACTGACGAAGGTTTCAGGAATCAGCAAAGAGTGAGATGACACATGTTCCGGTGATGCGCCGCACAGGTTTCCGGGTTTCTTTTCGGGCCCTGTTTTAACACTTTTTCGGGGGCCCTGCAAATTGTGCTTCTGTTTTTTTGGGGGGGGGGGGGAACCTCAGAATTGCGCTATTTACACAACTTCGGTGGTCACGCACTTCGGAAACCTCCTTTGGGATGCCGCCAGGGGGGCCTCTAGATTGCGCTACACATGCAGAGCAGTTTCAGTGTGATCAGGGCCTTTAGGCTGCCAAAATATGACAGGGCTTATTTGGGCCTAATTTTGCCTTATTTAGCCTGATTGAGCCACATTCAAAAACCACTAGATAAGGCTAAATAAGGCTCACCAAGGCTTTTTAGCGCTTATTCCCCTTCAAGCTGCTTGGCTGCGCAGGGTTGGTGCTTTTTCATGGGCGGGGGGGGGGGCTTTTGGGGGGGTAGCTTTTCTCTTCCTGAAATTCTCGAGGTGACCGTGGATTTGATTGTTGTCCTGTCTCTGGAGGGTGAGCTGGAATGATATTCGATGAGAGTACGGAAAGCGGGACAATCAGCCGTGTTTTTTGGCAAGCCGTTGCTGATGTATGGTTGCTGCAAGGATCCAAATATTTGCATGCAATGCAGGAATGAAGAGTTTGGAGCAGACGCATTCAACGTAAGCCAGTGGTCAGAAGGAGCGTGCGGTGTGATCAACGCCTGATTTGTTTGCCGGTCTTCCCCCTGGCAGCACCCTGAACAGGGCTCCTTAAAAGATACATGTTGCAACCATTTGAAACGGCTTTTTCCACCAAAATAAAGGGAAACCACAATTTACAAGGCAATGCTCAGGTGTATAATGTAAGGATCCCTGCTGAAGGAAGGTGGTTGAAACATAGTCCCTAAGTGTCTACCCTGCCCCGGCTTGTCAACAACCATGACGAGCAAGGGTGTTGTAGACGGTTTAGAGTTTAAACGCAAGCCTTGTGGACAGCATGGTGCATGTAGAAGGGTCAAAGAACACATCTGTGTTGTTTGAGGGTTCGTTCCCCTTTGACTCTGTTTCAGCGGAAACAAAAGGATACCCCCTGCCTTGCCCTTTGACACATATTGTTTGTCTTTCTTTGAGGGTCAACCTTTTTGTGGTTTTAAAGGGAAACCAAAAGCGCAACCACGCTTTTGAGGGGGTCCGTTTTCTGAGAAACACCCATATTTGGAACAATCACTGTTATGGCTTTGTCACTGTTCAATCCAGCTTGCCCACTGCTCAGGGCGTTGGCAGCTGCAGATGCCGCCGTTTGCGCACAAGCGCTGCGCATTTGCTGTGGCCTGCTACTGGGCAAACATTTGAGTGAGTGGTGATTTGTGTTTTTTGTTGTTGTTCTTTTGTTGTTTGTTTCACAGCATGTGTGATTCCGATCTGGTGTGGTTTTAAATGGAAGCCAACAGGACACCAATCTTCGGGAGAGGTCCCTAAGTTTCAAGCACACGCTAGAAACACCCGAGACTGAGACTTGGGTTTTCGGATCAGTTGCGCGCGGGTTCCCATACTGAAAATCTGTGATTCGGCGTATGCCCTTCGGATCCCTTCGGTCTAGTGTGCCGGGTATTCAGTTGGTGTCTGGCTTGAGATGGTTCACGCCCGAGTCGAGGAAGTTTAGAGACTGCAGGTTTATTACAATCTTGTTACTTGCGAACTGATTACGTAGGCTGGTTCTCAGATTTTGGCTTCCAACTTGTGGTGCTCGAGGAGAGGCCTGGGCGAGTGTCCAGATGAGAAGGCCATGCTGTCGCATGTCAAGTAAAATCCATGATGTAGCCCCTCACTCGAGAATCCCTGATTTCTTATAGACCGTGCAGAGTTGTTGTTGCCCACTGCCGCATCCCTGTGTTTGCCATCAGTGCTGCGTGTCGGTTGGAAAAGGGGTTCAAGCCAGGCGTGCCATGACGATTCTACGTTTGCATGTTGGCGTGCAGGTCACTTTCTGTGAGAGCTCCAGATTGGTTGGCCGAGTCAGCAGGCAAGTAATTCCACGAATACTGAAACCAGTCAGAAGTCCTCAAGTGGCGGCAACCCTGGCGTCTCAGGTAATATGATGGGCTAAACAGATACATACTAATATTTTACTTAATTCAGTATGACTTGGTTTGATTTCAGCACAACCCATGTTGATCATTCACCCCAAGCAAGTAGTCCTCTACAGGTGCCTGCCATGATGTTCGGCAACTGATGCTTCCGGTTCCCCTGGTGCTGATTCGAGTCCAGAGAGCACAGACAGTCACCAATGCACCACATCTTGAGTCGGTTTTTGCCTTAGCTTCCTTGTTCTTGATGCGGGACTAACTGCGCAAGCGATAGGGCGTTCTCAATGTATTGAAAGCATGTTCCATTCCCACATGGATTGCCAGTTGTGGATCTGACAGGTGTAGAACTCTTGATTCATTGTCAAGCAACGGTTTCTCCTAAGCGAACAAATATCATGAGTCCCCAACGGTTATCATTTCTCTTGGGTCATTTTGTGGCCATTGGCCTGAGAAATGTGTCAAAACGTCAAAACGGGCGGCTGCCTTTTAGTTTCCCTGTCTATCAGCGGCTACCTTGAACAAGCAAAAGCACACTGTGGGTCAGCCTACCCGTTGAGCTCCAAGCCTCATCTCTCAGGTTGTGCAGTCAGAGATCGCCCCGGACTCGGATTCAAGACATTTGCCGGGCATTTTGGAGCGGGGGGCTGAGTTTTTTTGCATCAAAAATTGGTGATTTTTGTTTTTTTTCCTCACACGACCGAATTCACCCCAAATGGCGGGCTTTATGTGGGGAATAGTTTCCCCAAGCACCTTCCTGGCTGGTGAAATCTTATAACTTGTAACTCACCCAGATCAAACATGGGTCATGTGTCCCTGTTTGGTGTGGTGCTCATCGCCTTTTTGGGCCCCTTGAAGTTTCCATTTGGTAGGCGGGAGGGGTCCGGGGACGAAAACCTGTCGACCCTTGTCCCGTTTGAAACGCGGTTTATTTGGATGGAGGGCACCTGTTACCAGCGGTGCTTGACCTCAATGAGAGGAGCATGCCATTCTTACCCCTCGTATTGGCCTGACAGAATGATCCAAGGTGTTTGGCAAGTGGATGGATTTGCCCAGACGGGTGGGCCAATCTGCGGCAAACAAAGAGCACACCTCAGATCTTGCTTGAAAGAGTTTCTTCTTCCATGATCAGAACCTTTTTGATGCGGCCAGCGTTGCGAGTATTCCAGTTGCAGATCATGTGGCTTGATAGTTGCAGCCAAATCGCCGTACACGATATATTGGGCGCCAAAACTGGGGGCCCCTTTGGGATCCTGTTGCCATTTTGGCCGCATTTCCCAGAGCTTCCGAAAGTCACCAGAGTGTGTCTTTTGTTTAGGGGACCCTCCCCCCAACAACAAATTGGTGGTTTTCATTTGGTTCCCCAAAAAGGGGTACAACCAATTTTGAATCCCGTCCCCCCTGTTCCCTGCCGGCGAGCGGAGTCTGAGTAGATGATTCTAGACCTGAGCAGTGAAGCCTGATATTTTTTTCTAAGTCTGATGCAAACAGACACCAGCTCTGGATGGATGGATGGATGGATGGATGGATGGATGGATGGATGGATGGATGGATGGATGGACGGATGGAAAAAACATATGGATATAGATGGATGTTCACTTAGCTGGATGGACGGATGTGCCGTCCTCAGAAGGATGATAATCATCCTTTGCTCGCGAAATCCCATGTTCTGCCCCAAACGAGTGGCGTGGACTTTTTCTCAACAGCGGATTGTTGTGTCATGCTCAACTGAATCCTCTGAAAGTTCAAGGTTTCTAAAATGCACCTAGTTTTAGTTTCAACAACGGATACCCTCCTGTCCAACCCACCAGAGGGCCTCTGATTTGTTTTCCAGAACCCCCGACCGTCAGGTTCCATGTTCTTCCATTTGAGTAAGACTATGTTCTATTGTCTATTTTTCCTGTTACTGGAAACATGTTCAGGGCTCCTTAAAAGATACATTTTGCCCATTTGAAACATGGCTTTTTCAACAAGATACGGGGAAGCCACCATTTACAAGGCAATGCTCAGGTGTATACTGTAAGGATCCCTGATGTTATTTTTTCTCTAGTGGGCATAAACGCAAATGGACGTGTTAGCCTGTAGTGTGGTTCTTTAGGATACTTTCTCTCCCACTCACCTGGCACGGGCGGTTCCTCCAGGAAACTCATCTTTCAGGTGCCCTCTTGGTGCCAAGTTGGTGGGAGGAAGGGAATGATTTTAAGAAGCCAAAAGGAGTCCAGTCGGTCTTATTTATTTTTTTTGGGGGGGGGCAGAGCCAATCGGAGGAAGGGTTTTCTTAAGAATAGTGTTTCTTTCCCCTATTGGTTTTCAATCGAACCTTTCACTACTGCAAAAATGTTCTCCTCGGAAATGTGTTAGCCTGGAGGGAGTTTCTTGAGTTTTCTGGTGCCATGGACGGAGGAAGGGTATTATTGTAGGAAAACCAACAGGAGTCTAGTCAGATTTTTTTTTTGGGGGGGGGCAGGCCAGTGGGAAGACGGGTAGTTCTTTTCTCCTGTTGGTTTTAAATGGAATCTTTCACTACTGCAAAAATGTTCTCCTTTTCTCCAGGGGGCCAAACTGCCAAATGGAAGTGTGTTAGCCTGGGGGAGTTCCTGAGTTTTCGGGAGGAAGGGTACAATTTTAGGACACCAAAAGGAGTCCGGCCGTGTTTTTTTTGGGGGGGGCAGACCAGTGGGAGGACGGGTTTTCTTAAGAATAATGTGTCTTTGCCCCCATTACTACTGGAAACACTTTTCTCCAGGGGGCCAAAACAAGAAGTGAGTCACAATCAAAACCCGGATAAGTGAAGGTTAGTAAGGGAAAAGCCTAGGCAGAATTAGTTGCGGCCGCCTTTCTAGTTCTTTACATGGTTCTGGGTTAATCAGTTTTGTACCAGGTTTTGATTGTGACTCAAGTGGACATGTGTGATCCTGGGGGAGTGGAGTTTTCCAGCCCCACTTCAGGCTGACTCTCCTTTGGAGCCCGGAGGCCTTCGAGCCGCGGCCCCAAGGGGGGGCGAATTCGAATTCGGCGAATTCGAAGCCGTCGGGTCCGAATCCGAATTCGGCGCAGCACGGCAAGCGGCTTGCTTCCCAAGCGGGGGGTTGCAACGAGGGGTACCTTGGGGTCCTTTAACAAGAAATTCATTTTGCAACCATTTGAAACATGTGGCTTTTTCAACACCAACATAAAGGGAGACCACCATTTACAAGGCAATGTTTAGGTGTTTTTCATGTAAGGATCCCTGTTTAAACAAAGGGGAAACGTCTGGACCTAGCCTGGGTGACTTTGAAGTAAATCGTGGCATTGTTTTTTTTGTTACAACTTCAATTCTCGGGTTGGAGGTAAGGGATCCCAGCCATAAATGGCTGTGGCTAAAAATTCAACAGGGGGGGTTACGCAGGTTTTGGTCCATGTTCCACAGCCAAATGGGTGTGGGAATACGCCTGGTCACACATTATTTACATTTTGATACCGATCCCCACCCCCTTAATGGAAATGGGGGAGGGGGATTTCGACCCCTGGAGATTCCATTTTCGCTTTGGGGAAGACTAGGTAAATGGAATCGGGAGACCCCCTCCCCCCTAAGGTAGGGGGGATCAATACCGGGTTTTGATTGTGACTCACCGTGGGGCAATTTTAATGGGACACTTTTTGCGGGTCGTTTTGTGGGCTGTTCGTAGGGGAACCAACAGGCAACGGAGAAATGCGATTCCGTATCGAAAAGACCTTCATTACAAACCCTTCAGTTGGGGGATCTGGGGGGCTGCTCTTGAACGCCTGAACATTAGATGACTCTTGCTTGGTACGGGCAACCAAACGGGCGTATGTTTCTCCACACATAGGTTGTTTCACGTCGGTTTCCGTTTCAGACCAGGTACCATCTCCAAACAAGACAGCCAAAAGGAAAGCCACCTGTGTGGTTCCGCTGTTCTTAGACATACTTTGCAAGGATTCTTTTGGAAGCTGACCTTTTGACCAGGATTGGCACATTGTTCAGGTGTGTTCCTAAGACTGTTACATAACTTCATATGAATGTAAACTACCAATAACTTAGTAAGTCCCCACCATCCGGTTCCTTAGCTTTTTAGCCTTTTAGTACATTTAAACCACTAAAAGTTAAACTTTTAGCGGGGGATCTGAGGACAGCCCAGAATATTTGCTGCTATCTAATTTTAGGGGGATGACTTGGATTTAGCACGCCTGCGCCATTGCCAAACAACCAGAAAGGACATGGAGGTTCACAACATCCAACGTTGAGGGACACAAGGAATATGGACCGTGGCTCCTGTCCTTATGAGTCTATTTCCCACACGTGTCAGGTATAGGTCATTCTAGTTAAATGTCCCCTTTCGGAAACCAAAAGGGGATGGATCATCGTTGATTCTTATTTTTCTCGGATCTGTCAAAGAGACCCCGGCAACTGGAACTGGGTCTCCACTAAAACTAGTACATATATATACATATAAAAATCTTTCACAAATTCAAGTGGCTTGTGGCAAACATCATTCAGGGCATGATGTGGCAGCGTTCAATTGGTTTCCGTCCACCAAAGAAAGCAAGGGGCGAACTCTGAAGCAGGCTCGGGCGTCATGTTTGTTTCGCTACTGCTATTGGGTTGGATCTTTAGACTAACTTTTTGGATTCCCCTCATATGTCCTTTTAACCAGCAAATAGTTTAGCTTTTTGCTGGGGGATCTACAGCACCCAAGGTTTGGTGTACCCCTTCTTGGGGCCATCTACTCGAGGACCTAGTTGACGTCGGGCCCATCGCACGGGGGAAACAAAAGAACAAAACTCGCCGGGGCACTCGGCCGAGGCGATATATCTTCGCTCTGGGGAACTCCTTGCGCTGGGACGTGGTGACCCATCTCTGGGGGGGCCTAGTCCAAAGTAAAAGAATTGGGTGGCTCGGCGGCGGTTGTAGCGTGTCTTTTTGGGAGGCGACCCTTTTTGGGATGGTCTACATAGACGGAAGCCAACAGGAAAAACATTTTGTTTTTGGGGGGTCTGATTCGTACAACAAGACACCCAAATGAATCGACCTGGATCGCCTTTTCTCCATGCACTGTACCCCAAAAAACAGCAACAGTGACTGAGAAAAGCAGCAACTTGGCTATCTAGGGAGTTGTTTTTTTGTTTCGCGATGTGTTCGCCTAGTACTGGGGTGGGGGGAACTCTCTTTACGCCGCGGAGGCCACGCGAAGGCAATTCTGGTGGTAGGCCGGTTTGCGTATGCATGTTTTGTCTTGCCAAAATCCGGGGAGGTCTACCCTGGAGGCCGGGACTGGACCTAGGGAATTGCAAAAAATACAAAATCTGTAGTACGAAGTTTTGCATTTTTTCAAATTTAAGGGTAGCGCCGGAGAAACGTCTAGGTACTTCGGCCCTCGCCCCCGAGTAGGCGGCTTTTGCGCGTAGGCTCGCATAAGCACCCTTCCATGGTTTTACACACCTGCGGAGGTTCCGCCTAGGCATAGTTGTCAGTGTATAGGGCTGAAACACCTAACAAAAGTCTTTGCTCAACTGGACCCTTCTACCGATAAGGTAGATATGGGTGTTTCTCAGAATACCGCGGCCGTAAAAAGGGCTTCTGTTTGGTTTCCCTTTTAGGCGCCCAAAAATGACTCCGCCATTTTGTGAACCCCCCTCCATATTGGCCCCAAAATGATGGGGTTTCAGGTTTTAGGCACCGTTGTTCATACTGTGGATGGACACACACCACTTCCACTTCAGACCGGTGGTGCAACCATGCTCAGAGAGGTTCATCCAAAAGAAGTGGTGCCTGCCACGGATGTTGTCTATCCCCATAACTCCAACCCTGATCAACCAGAAAGACGGGGGCCCGGTTTGGAGTCCGGTTCCTCTTTCCCGTGGCTGGGCAAGGATCGACATGTGTTTGGCTTAACGGCCTAAAAGATTAGCGCTAAAAAAAAAACAGGCCCTCTAAAGGATCACGGTAAGACTCATGTTCGAACACGTGGGTTGTTGCATATTTTCAATCCAAAATCGAGGCCCCATTTTGGCAGTTTTCCTTTTTCGCTTCAACCAACCAAGGTATCCTCCAAAAAGCACAACCTTAGAACGTCTGTTAGTGGCTCAAGGCTGCTATCGGTTTGCTGGAGCTTGCACATTGCAAAATGCCCCCCCACCCCCCAGGCGGCGATACGGAAGCCAACAAGAAACTTGGATATTCCGCCGCTAGATGTATGACATTGCCAGCCGTAGGCTTGAAGCCGCCCAGGTGAAATTTGGGTATGGGTCAAATTTTAGACCAACAGGGATACGGACCGCAGGCTTGAGTCCTTGTTTCCATTTGCCAGATTTCCATGTTTACCTATTTTGGACCCTATTTTTGACCCACACCCATTTGCCGAAGTCGGTTTGGCGCACATCCGCGCACGCGCTGGTCACATTTGACTGACCGCCGCTAGCTGCCGCGCCATGGGCATTGGAAGGACCAACAGCCATGGCAGTGCCAACTCACCGCACCTCGGCTGCTGCGGCGATCCGCGCGAACAGAGCTACTTAAAGAGGCGATTGGGTACCTCACGTTTGTGGTTAGTAATCCTGGTGGGGTATTCCCACTTGCCACATAAGTCTCCCAAGTGGGTTCTGAGCAGGCTTACTATTTATTTACGAAGTACACTGCCCCTTTAAGTAGTTGTGGCTCGTGGTTGGATATTTGCTCGGTGGTTTAATTGTCCTGCTTGCGAGCCGGGTCAGGCAGGTTTGGCTTTCTGTTGTGTGTTGCGCGGTGGTCGGTGGGTCGGTTCTTCACTTGAGCCACGTGCTCAAAACCCGGGTAGATGAAGGTTAGTAAGGAGCAGTCCCGGCCATAAATAGCTGCGGCCGCCTTCTTATTTTTTTTACATGGTTCTGGGTCAACCATTTTAGTACCGGGTTTTGATCATGACTCACTTGGCTTTTGGGCTGGTCGACCATGCGCGTTGCTACTTCCATGTGACTGTCGCCATGGAAGGAAGCCTTCAATGCCCGAAGTCAGGTTCTTGAGCTTGACTCAAGTCGATGTTGTTCATTTTGGATCTTGAAACCAGCATACCCAGGGATGTTGCCTAGGAACCGGACCGGGTTTGTGTCAGACCATTGTCCCTTAAAGTTGGACACTTTGCAGGTTCCATGCATGGGAGCCCCAGTTCACTACGCTACCCACTTCACTGGGCAACTGCTTGGAACCCAACTGGGCAGGTTCATAGGTGTCCTTTTTAGGTGAGCCTGGTTAAAAATAGATGGCACTGGTTTAGATGGGTTTTGTTCCATTTACCAGGGCCATCTTTTTTCCAAAAGGCCACCTCTGCAGGTTGAAACCCAACCTCTCTACTGGAGGACCTAGTCTCCGAAACGGGAGGCCCAAGTGCTTGACCGGAAGACCTGACGTCCGGTACTCGGATGTTCTTTTTTCTCCAAGTTAAGTAGTGATCGCCACTTGGGGTTGTTTGCACCCCTATAACAAAGTTAAACCAACTGAACAGGGAACTGAGTGGGTCACAACCGAACGGTTGCTGTTTCAACTTACGAACTTGGTGAAAAAAGAACACCCAAACACCCAAGTCTCGTGTTTTTGAGGGCACCCTTTTTAGATTGGTAAGGGAAACTACCAGGAAAGCCAAGATTCTAGGGTCTGTCAGAAATTTGCATCAAGTCCCGGACTGAGAGGTGCCCAGTGGTTGCTTGAGAGTCAAAGGGGCGATCGGGTACCTCATGTAAGTGGGTAGTACGCCTGGTCATAACCCACTTACCTTGGTTATAAGTTATAAGTCTTTGTTCAGTGGGTCATCTCACCAGGCTTACTAACCAGTTACCAAGTACCCTGCCCCTTGAAGTACTTGTAGCTCGTGGTTTGATAGTTGCTCGGTTGAGTTGTCCTTGTGGTTGCGAGGGGATCCTTCTGGATCCGAATGGTTGCTTAGTCTTCAAATGGGTGTGTGTGTGTGTGTGTGTTTTTTTTGAGGGACCCTGGTGGACATCATTTCGGTGGGAATTTTTATGTTCACGAACCATTTGGGGACGGGGCTCCTCATTAACTAGGTCTCCCAGTAGTGCCCTTTCTCAACCTTTTTTGGGGGAGGATTCCCCTAAAATAGACTACAGACAAAATGGTTGGTACCCAACAATTCTACCCTCCTGGAGGACCTAGCAGATTACTAGAGTCTATGATGGTTCCACTACCCCCCAGCCACTACCTTGAAGGGGGTTATGTTTTTTGAGGTGGTGGCTTAGGGGTCCATGATCTTGGCATTTGCACCAATCGGATCTACTTCCCCAGTCAAAGCATCATTCGATTTCTGGTGGACGTCGTTTAGGTGGGGATTTTTCGGTTCACCCATTTAGGGGACGGGGGAATGCGCATTAAAAACAAAAAGAATCAGCACCGCAGTCTACGGCGACACCCGGGGCTTCGGGAGACTCTCTGAGGCTGCTGCCAGTCGAGGGCCTCAAGGAGGTCTTAAACACCAACGCCATGGCTCCCCGATCGGCGACAGGGCACGGGTTCCCTTGGGTTACCCCAAAAAACAACCCCAAAGAGGGTCGGCTTAAAAGAGATGCAGAAAACTTTCAGGTGAAAAGCCAACCCCAAAGCGGGTTGGAACAAAGAAAACATGCATATTTTCTTTCAGGTGAAAACAACAACCAACCCCAGAGAGGGTTGGTTTCTATTTCAGGAGTTGAACGGTCAATTTGTTGCTGAATTGAATATTTGTTTTATCTTCCCCTGCTGGTAAAGGGAGTCTATCACTACTGGAGATACGTGCTTCATCTTTTCCAGGGGACTTTAGAAAAGGGAGGTATACGGTATGGGTGTCTCAAAGGCTCTCAAAGGGCGCCACTCTAAACTCGAAACGGGTGGTGCTTTTGGTTTCGGGCATTCTTGGTTGACGTATCCCATACTTTCGGGAAGACATGCGGATGGACGAAATCTGCACCACCGAAAAACTTAAGAAACCTTGGGAAGCAGCCATTGTTTGCTGGCATTAAAAAGGGGAATCATATCATTCCAGGCATTCTGCTCAGTTGTGCCATTTGAGGATTTTCGTCCATCCATAATTTGAATCCGAATCTGAAGACGTAAATGTTGGTGTCTTTCAGAGTTGGGCCAAGGTTGGTTTGTCGGCTCGTTTGAAGATGCGTCCAAAAGTTAGAGTTGGAAGCAGCCCCATTTCTAGGATCCTCCTTTTTGAGCCCGGGCCAAATCTTGATGGTTTCTCAAAAGAATGATGGGGCATAAACGGGGCACCAACTTGTACGAAAATGGCACTGCATTGAACCCTTATTCTTCTTGCATGTAAGAGGATTTGGCATCTTTGGCAGCCAAGGTTGAGCTGTGACAAAGTGATCCTCACTCCCTGAGTTCATAGACTTTAAACTTCTCAGAAACGTGGCAAAAAGCAAGGTCAGGCGGTTTTTGGCTAATCCACTTGATCGGACGTGAGCATCAGGGGATTAAACGTGGCACCCTTTGCACAATAAGGCTTTTCCACGTGAGTTCCAGAACCGTTTTGCTCAGACGGTCTCATGGACCCTCAAATATCATTTTGGTCGAAGGCCCAGGGAGTACTTGGGAGCCTTTGGGTGGGTTTTTTCGTCCTGGTCATTTCGAGCACGTCATGGAACCTGACGTTCGGCTCCTGGTGTGGGCCATTTGTCCTTTGAAGGGGGCCATTTCCCAAACGTGAGGTTCCGGCGGTTTCCTATGGTTTCCTTTCAGGGGAACCCCCTTCCGGTGCATTCCCATCTGGCTCTGTACCGGAAAGTTCTACCCTCCCACCATTTTCAAATGGTGGTTTTCCGGTTGGTTTCCATTTAAAGCCAAGAACAAAGGGTACCCTCCCACCAACTAACACG